ATATTTCATTACTATTAGTTTCAACAAATATGGAATTATTAGGAATATTTCATACTAGTCTGAAAATTATTTTTACAAAACAGATGAAGGATTTCATGATGTAATACTTTGTAGCTAACACATATACACTTTTCTTTTAAAAAAAACTCTTTCAGGGGTATTTAAAATTTCACATACAAAAGATTATTTAAGAAGTTCCTCCTAATTCTAATTATACTTGTAATAACAGAGTTTCATGATGGATATTAGCAAACATTAAACCCCCATAAGCAGAATTATAGTGAATATTCTGCAACAAGCCCTTGATTATTACATATGTCTTGTGGATATCACAAAAAACAAACAACTAGCAGTAGTTCAATTAAAAGAATAAATAATTTTATTTTGCTAATGAAACAGAAAAAAAAGTAATTTTAATTAATTAAATATCAAATGCCTAGATAAGTAGCTACACAGTGAAATAAAAATTATCGACAGCATATAAAATTTTTGCAGAAACTTAGACCTAAATTGTTCGGCAGGGACATGGATGTAAATTGTTTTACAACAAACTGAAATTGCTGTGGGACATTAGTCACAGATTTTAGCATTTTTTGCTTTTGAGTGTTAATCAATGATGAATTTTAAAAAAAATAGTTAAATTTAGGAATTTTTCGCATTAGATCTCACAATAACCAAGTTCAACTGTATTTAGCACAACTGAACATTCTATGACAGACTCTTTTGGGGGTCTCAGTCAGTTAATTTTTTTTATCTTTGCATTTTAAATAAAAAGGGGAAAATTAGTATTAATCAAGTTTGAATGAACTTCAATTTATAACATAAATATTCAATTTACAAAATATTGACAAAACGAAACGCATGTTTTTAAAAGGAGAAAAAGATTTAGAATTATATTTTAATAGCAATAAAGTTATTTAAAAGTAAAGAATCCAACAATATTCTCTTTTTTTAAAAAATAAAATTGTCCTTGAGAATAAAAAATAAAACAAATTGACATAAAACATTGTGGTAAATCTTCTATGCTGATATTTTAATTCTATTAGTGAATTATTTTAGGAAAAACTTGATATTTAAAATATATGTTAAGCAATTTCTTTAATGAAGGGAAAAACAACACTGAAATCTAAATTTTAAAAAAATCAGTACTTTTTTGAAAAAATTTACAATATTAAAAATATTTTCTTAATGTACGAGCTTCAACCTGACAAATGTAACAGTGCACAAACAGATAGAATATGTATTTGAGAAATCTGAACCTCTAAGTACTGTTTCATTCAATTAACTGAATTCTTTTAATTTTCATACAATTTACCTTAAGTTTAACACCATGAATATAACTTATACAGTTTCTTTGCTACATAAGATTTTTTTCAATGTGTATATAGTGTGTAATAAATTAAAAGTTTAATGCAAGATTTTCAATTTAATGTGCTTGCTGTTTTTTGAAATATATTATAGCAAATAAATAAATAAATAAAAACCATGCGCAAAAAAACATTAAATTAATTTTATATAAGTTGCTTAATTTTAAATAAATAGGATAAAAAAAAAATGAGATAGTTCCAGTCTTAACTCTTCAAAAATATTGTACACTAAGTATTACATAATTTATTATTTTAAAATTTATTATTATAATTTATTTATTACTATTTTTATAGAGCAAACAAAAGGAAAAACAAACGGAAAATTGAAGCCAAATTATTCTTTAACAAGTAATTACATTAGGTGTAAAACTATTCTGTTTCCCAACTAACTTTTGATCTGAACACAATCTGGAAAAATATTGTTAACAGTTAGGATAGAAAGTGGTGAGACGTGTTACACGTTTGAATTATTATATATTAATACAGTAGAGAACCGATTATCTGGAACGATTGGGACCATCGCGATTCTGGATAATAGATATTTCCGGTTTTCTGAATCGCTACAAAATGCCGTTTTTTTAATGTTTATAAAACGAAACAAACTTTTTTTTTTGAAATAGTTTTAGAAATAATAAAAAATTATAAATAATAATACACTTAAGTTTAAATAAGGAAAGAAATTATGAAATAAAAATTATATACAGGCTTATATATGTTATTAATGTTATTATTAACATTAATAACATATATAAGCTATTTGTGCTTATGTGAGATTCGTCTACAAACGGCTTTTGATCCGCCCTCTAAATCAGTTCTTTCGTCTACTCGATAAGCAGTACACTCTAAATAACAAAATGAGCTCAAAATCTTGCAAGAAAAAAAATTTTTTTAATGGAAGAAAATTAATTTCCGGTTCCGAATTTCATTCAGGTTATCTGGTTTTCCGGTTTTCTGATTTCCGGAAAAGAGGTTCTGCACTGTATTACTATTTGTATATTTTGTCAAATATACAGATAGTAATATAATTTAAAATATAATTATAAGAACAATAAAAAAAATTGCACAAAATAAAAATAAAAAAGTTATTTGGATAATTTAATGAAAAAAATAAAGTTTAACCAATTAGTGTAAATGATCCATTTAAATTTTTTATAATTTTAATAATAATCTTTTTATTCATCTTATTATCTCAAACTTAGTCATTTTAAAAAATCAATTAAAATTGCCTTCAGTAATTTAAAAATTGAGATCGTTTTAGCAGATGTTTACTCATATTATAATTGACAATCAATGACATTCAGTATATATTGACTTTGCATTCTTCAAATGTCAATCTAAAAAAAAACAGATCTTTTTCCTATAAATTTTTAATTTTAATAAAAATATATCATTAAAACAGTAAAAAAAATTTATTAATGAAATAAAGTAAATATAAATAGTTATTAAAATTGCTTTCCAAAAAAATTATTTTTATAATTCTATAAGTTTGTTCAATAACCAGCATTTAGATTTAAATCTCTTTGTCAGATCTAATTTAAAATATCTCATAACCTAATAATGCTAACTTGAAAAAGAAATACAAATGGTAAATTGAATACATACTAAATTAAAAAGTACTAAAAAGATTATCAATTTTTCTCACCCACTGTTGTTCTGAAATAAAAAAATAAGTTTGAAGTATTCCTCTAAATTCTTTTCTTAATTTAAATATATGTGTATATCGATTGACTTGGTAGCTCTGTTTCTCTGTAAGTTACTTTTGTTATTGTGGCTTTTGAACTCGTTTTCTAACAAACAAACCTTTTATGAGAAATTGGTTTAGAAGTTGGTTACTGGCACAGTAAAAAAATTAATGAATTAGAAATTTTTTCATTTACAGTAAACTTTGTCAAAGGCAAACAAATTATGAGGTGGAATTCCGCCTTAAGCAGAAATTTTAAAGTCTCAGAAATTTTTAAAAGTCCATAGCATTACATAATAACATTTGGGAGTGGAAGCATTTTCCAAATTTGTGTATTAATCTTTTATAGCGAATGTTTATTTATTTATAAGGAACATTTCAAATCATTCTATCTGTCTAAGCATTACACTGTTAAGTAAAGTAGGTAACATATAACTGATTACTCAAGAAATAAGGCAATTTTACTCATTTGAAAAATGGAACATAAATGGAAAAGTCTAAATTTGCTATTTTTGTAGAGAACTACTTATATTGTTGAACATTGAACTGCAAATAGGTCACTGAAATTTTGAAATATAGTGGCATTTTGATGTACAACGGAAAATGTGTTACAAAAATAAAACAAAAATTGATTTAAGACTTATTTTTCTAAACTAAAATTGAACACACTGTCAACCTAAGTGTTAGATGAGTGCATGTTTTAATGTATATATTCCTTTTTTAATGCATAGGTGAATTCTATTTTAAAGACGATGAGAAAACAGAAGAACTTTAGGAAAATGTAAAATCGAATGATAAAGTAAAAATATTAACATTGTTTGAAATAAATGTATTTTGAAGATGCTATACAACTTTTAAAATGTTAGTACTATAATTATTTTGGCACAAGTGTTAAACATTGTTCGATTGAAACATTCAGTTACATAAAATTAGTTAGGACATAAAATTTTATAGCAATCTGCTTTTTTGATTTGGCACCGATTATTTCCATTTTATATTTTATTAAAAATAGAAGCAAACATTTTTATGATACAAAATATGTTGGATCTTATTATTTCAGATAATCGAGGATTGATTGTTGTTTACTCAATTAGATGTCTATATCACTATATACTTCGAATTGATAAAAACAATTTTGTGACATTATAATAAGTATAAAAACTCAAATGAGTAAATGAATTATATTATTAATCAAATGAGTCGATTCCAATAACTTAAGTTTAAAGATAACGTTATCATTAATCAGCATTCAATTCCAGAAATATAAAATATTTTGCATAAAAAAAAAGCACCAAATAGTTGTAAGTAATGGCATAATACTACATATTTTAATTAAAGTGCACAGATGGATAAATTAAAATTATGAATAGGTAACTCTTTTTGAATTATTTTACTCGTATCACAGTATACAAATATACTTCAATGAATATTATTATGCTTTAATAAAAGACAAATTAGTCACTTTAATCATTTTTGCCATTAAGATAATCAAGATAATTTTAAGATTAATTTTAAAAAATAATTCAATAATAATTTTAAAAAATTTTACAATTAAGATTTTAAACTGATTTTGATTATTCAGAGAAGAAATTACAAGAGAAAAAAATAGATAGCAAGAAAAGATAAAGACTGAAACAAAAAAAAGTAAGTAGAATTATATAATACAGTATGCAGTAGAAAATATAAAGAAAATAAAGAAATAACTATACATATCTCATGTTTTTAACTATTAAAAAAAAAGACTAAATAAAAAGGGTAAAAAAAAAATTTAAAAAAAACTCTTTCAGAGATGCAACAAATTTGCCCTTTTTTTTCTCGTCGTGTCACAGTGTTGTGCCTGCTGATTGTGAACCATACGTGTTTGAGAACGGAAAGGCAAATTCATTACATACTTTAAGAGTGAGGCATGCCTCATGCAAGAAACGGTTGTGACGGGCCATGCGTCTACACACCTTGGGCTGTACCTGTGTCCCCTCCTCGCACAATGGCCGCATAACTTGTACTCCCTTGAAGTCAAGAAGAAAAAAGAAGAAATGGTCAGCACACACATGGGGAGGATTCACAACTCACGCTCACACATTCATCAACTCGCACTTAAGCATCCTGGTCACTCCACACTTTGTGGTGTAGGTTTAAAATATATTATTTATATCTTTGATCTAATGATCATAATTTTACGAACTGAGATGCGATCGTAATCGTCAATGGCGGTGGTTGTTTCGAACCCACGATCTGCAGCTGACAGTGGCATGATTCTGGTACAGGTATGATTTACATTCAAAGTGACGAGTACCAGGAAACTTAAGCTTCCTTCACAAAGACTGACAAACCATTTTAAAAATGCATGAAAACATTGAGGAAATAAAGAGATATTATGGAGTATAAATGAAACTAGATGTACTCTAGTTTTAGAAAAACAATTTAATACATATTACTAATACTAATACCAGTTAATATTACTAATACCAGTCATATTACTAATACCAGTTAATTTTAAAGAAATTTGAACCCTGTTAAAAACTACAACAGTTAGGATGACAAATGCTGATTCATTAATACTGTATACAAGCAAACATTAGCCTGCAACTTTAAAATCTAACTTTTATAATATTAATTACATCACTGTTCATTAATTTCAATATAGTACTACAATAAATAAATAAAAACATAAAAAATCTTGAAAAAAATTATTAGAAAAGTATTTATATGAAAATAATATTTTTCAGAAAATAAACTTAGAATTTAATTATGTCTCACTAATTTACCTGTGAAATAACAATATATAATTTTTTTATATTATATATATATTGAATATATACAATATTATATTATATAATTCACATATAATCAAATGAAATAATAAAAAAGTAATAAAAAATACTGTTTAAAATCCTAAGGTATGTATTGAAAATTTCAAAAAATTTTTGAAACACAACACTTTTTTTAAAAAACTTTTTTGTTTTTACCTTGATGACTAAAATAAATATTTTTTGAGAAAGGTCTGCATCACTTTCCTTAATGACTCCTTTTCCCATTTGCATTTAAAATCCAGGAAATAAAAATACACACATAAGAGGCCACAAAATTAACAGAAACTTATCAGTTTTAGAAGACGTAATAATGCTAATGGTGTTTAATTGAAGTAATAAGTACTACTGGTATTGAGGTAGTAGGTTTTTCTTGAGCTCCCAAAATATTAAGTAACAGTTAACATTGCAGTAAAAAGAATAAAAATGTTTTCTAACTTCACTATGGAGGATAAACTCAGCAAAGAATTAAAATGATCTAAAACCAGTTTATTTGAGGATGAAGCTCAAAGGCAATTCCCATTAAATGGAGGAAGCAATACAAATAATTTAATGATTTTAATTCCTCCTTTGATCTTACTGATTTTAATAAGTAGCCAGAGTTACAAAACACAATTTTCATTATTTTGTGTCCCCTAGAGTGAGTATATCTATATAATATTTTGATTCCTAATATTTTAAATGGATAAATATATATGGGGAGAGTTCAGGACCCACTTTAATGAACATAAAAAATACTACAATCAAAATTAATGAACAGTGGGTTCTAATTAACTATAATTTAAAAAAGTAATTGATGTATTACAACAGAAAAAGTAATAGAAAGCAACAATTGCAAAAAATGTTACAAATAATAATGCATTATCAAAATAGTTTAAACCAAATGATCTTTTCTAAAATATCATTACCAGGCTGAAAAGGTCGTCTGACACTCGGTGAATCTGGTAGGGCAGCAGGTGGGGAATTCTCGGTGCTCGATTCACCAGGTTTCATTATGACGCTCTTTTCTGTCAAATTAATAAGGCTGGAAAAAAGTAAAAATTATTTCATTATGTTACAGAAGTTAATATTTCAAGATAGGCTTATGGATAAGAGTTAAGGACAAACAATATATATTTGGCTTACTTATACATTAAAATTTTGATTGTTGATATTTTATAATCATGATGTTCATTAATCATAATAATTAATTATAATCATGTTGCTCATAAATTAATTATAATCATTTATGTTGATTAATCAAATACAATCAATTACAGTTATCAACTCTTTATGCGGTCTCAGTAATATTATCAATCGTTTATTGCGATCAAAATATTACTCGGACTTGATTTCCTTTCATAATTTGTAATTACATCTTTTAATGTTATCAAGCTGAAAAGAGAAACTGAAGGAATGATAGAACATCCTTTAGATATAACATCTCAAAAGATCGAGTCATGTACGAAAATATGCTTGTAGCTTCCATATTAATAAAATCAAAAGTTTGCTAGATTGTTATGAGAAAAAAAAGAGGGATGATATGAACATATGAGTCAGATGAAGATGTGAAGATGTTAAGCCACCACCTACAAACTCTGAAATTAGAAATGCAATGAGAATGTTGAAATATGCTTATTTATAAATTGTATATAATTATAATGAAATACAGCATTATAATTATATACAATTTATAAATGAGCATCTCAGGAAAAATTGCTGATGACTAATTTTTTTTAATATCACATATAATTTGAATAATTTAAAAGAAAAATATCAAGTAAGTTTTCCCCCCGTTTTATTTTCAAACTCAGTATATGTGGCTTCAATTTTGTTAATAATATCAAATTCATTGAGTTCCCAAAGTCACCACACTAAGCAGAGACAACTTTTTCCTTAAGTAAAAAAAAAGTTAATGGAATATTTTTTCTTACTTGTGAGAGACAACAAAAGTGCAATCTCCTCCTTCAATTGGTTCCAAATCATAGATATATAGTTTACCTTCTCCAGACACCACAAGAACACGTTGAATTTTCTCAATTCTATATATATATAAAATAAAAAATATAAGAAATTTTTTTTTTAACAGAACAAAAATAATATTACTTAATAATCTTTGAAAAAATGTACATTAGTAATAAAGTTGAGCTGAAAAAACATAAATAACAAATAGGTAAATTATCGATTAAGGGGCAATTGTAATATAAAGGGATAAGCATGTATATTGCAGTTTCCCCTTTGTACATAAAGAGAAAACAAAATCAACATGCCACTCCTTTAGAACTGGCTGAGGGCAACTTATTAAAAACCACCAATTCTTTTCTATACACAGGAAAAAATAAAGAATTTATCCCTTTCAACCTCACCACTTTTTGATAAAAAGAAAAGAACTTTCCCACTACTTAACTTTAAGGATAACTAGAATTCCTATAATTTGCCTCAATAGTTCTAGTTCAAAATGGTGGGAAAACCAAGCAAAAATATGTTCTAGTTTTTTGCATACCGGATAAAAAGTGCTGCATTACTCTAATTTCCTGCTGCCCATAATGACAAAAGTAAATTTTCTGACGTACATGTTTAAAGTTTGGTTATAATTCTGCGTACATAAATTTGGAGGCAGACTATTTTTTCCCCTGCACGAATTAGGTGTTCCAGGGAATAAACTTATTTTTCACATACTTCTGCGACAGAAAGGCCTAATCTCTGCATTGTGGACGATACTTCTCTAATGGTTGCAAAATTCACATTTTACTGAATGATACTTGGTTCTGTTAATTTCATTGAAAATGTATTTCCTTATCATTATGTACAAAAAATTCAAAAGTTTACATAAGATGCCCCTTTTTCACAAATATCTCAAGGTGATCCTTTCAAGGTGTCAGATAAATTAACTGAAATTTTGAAATATCTTGTTTTTAATTCTTTACCACATTTTATGAAAGCAGGGCAGTTTGCATCCTTGCTCTATAATTTTTGGTATATTTGGATATCCCACTCAATTTCAGAAAAAAACTATCTGACTTTTCCAGGTATGTCAGGTAAATTTAAATGTAAACCCAAACCATATTTAATCCATGCCATGCAACTTTTCAAGATTTTTTATTTGCAATGTCAAATGTAAGATTTAGTGAGCAAAAAAAAATATTATTGAATGTGGATGGGAACATGGCAGTTTGACTAAAATGCGAAATTTTTACAACAAATAATTCCATCAGATGTGAAAATTATTGAACTCCAATCTCAATTACTGATACTGACAATTCTAAGAGAGAATATTTTCCAGATATAATACCACGACCATTCCCTGATTTTTGGAGTTAAAGTAAAATCCTCTGTGGGAGCCCTGGTATAACATAAGCAAAATCATAGATTTTTCTGTTTCTAGCAAAAATTTATTCTAGGTAGACATAACATTTCTTTCCATTTTAACTCTCCACTTGCTAGACAAATATAAATAAATTGTTTTAATTATTTGTACTAATAAATAAAGAAAGAAAGTGATCTCACGTTGCTAGTGTGCATATGTTCCTCACTCCAAAGAAGGGAAGGTGAACATTTGCAAAGGACCGTTCTTGGTACAACATGTCAGCCACTTGTGTGGGAAGGTAACTGGCTGAACTGATGATGGCCTTACCAAACAGTCCCAACCAGCTTTGGGGGTCTTCAGAGGGCTTCCTGAAAAAACACAACAAAAAGTTAGATCAAAGATCAAAAAGCAACCTGTCACAAAACCTGTATTTAAAAAGTGAATAATGCCCGTTTAGAACAAATTTTAAAACTAGATTCCAGGGTCTATTGTTCAAGATTTTTCAAATAGCATCAATATTTTTTGACAGTATTTTGTTTCAATAAAAATTGTAAAATGTGATACTAATGATAAAGAAGAAAATAAGAATGTGTTACAGCTAGAGTAAAACTTTTTCAACATCATGTTTGATATTTATGCATCATTTGATAAAAATCAGGAGTGATTGGGACACAAAGTGAAAAAAACCTGAAAATTTTATGTGCAAAAAATCAATATCAATTTATATACAATGCATGCTTCGTATTTAACATATTTTTTTAGATAGTATTTATAATTCATTTACCTACCGATGAAGAATATCTTTAGAGTAACTTAATTGAAGAAAAATCTTAGTTCCTACAAGAATCACGATGTTGTATTTTTAAAATTGCATGAATAAGAATCACCATATCAGATTACAAAATTGCGTGAATATAAATCACGCCATTAATTTTTTAAATCAGGTGAATAAAAATTGTGGTGTATGATTTTTAAACCAAATGAGTACAAATTGCTATTTCCAGCTTTTAAATTAGGTAGATACGAAAATTAATGTTTGCTATTCCGTGAGAATTGGAATCCTGATAGAATCAGAATTGGGTTCTGGCACAGTTCCATGTATTTAAAATGGTGAAAATCCGCCAAACCAAAAGAATGAAATTGACGGAAGAATCACGAGCATGCAAGCACATGCATCAGAATCATGTGCATATTTCCAAATATTTTTAAAAAACAAATATATTTATTCATCTTCTTTTGTAATGTAATTGCTTTTGCAGTAACTTTTAATTATTGTAAATTTATTAATTTCCAAAATCGTTAATTTTTTATCACTTTTCATACAGTTTTAAGTCATTATTTGATATCTTATGTTGACCAGCATCTATCATTCACAATGAATGGACTCATGAGAGAAAACATATTGAGACTCTACTGTATATATAAAAACACAAACTTACACGTCTTTCAGCTCTTCCAATCTAAAGATGTGAACAGTGTCTGTGTTGCTAGAAGCACTCAGATACTTAGAATCTTCACTGAAGGACAATGAATATATCCTAACACATCTGAAAATAACAATTATTGTACATGATTCAGCATGAAATATTATATGAGTTTTTTAACAACTTTTAAACTGGGTGGGTTCCAACTCAATTTTGGAAATAAAAATTCCTGATTTTTCCGCATTTTCAAATAATTCTAGAATAAATTAGTGCTACACATAGCATTTTTTTAAAATCAAAAACACAATGTTTTTTTTTTAATTTAAGAAGCAATTAAACTTGCATTTTGATATATATATATATATATACCGAATATTAAACTGTTAAAAACTGTTTATCAGGCAAAGGTTCAATCAAGTATATAAATTAGAAAAAAGCAATATTTTGAACAAAAATTTGAAAATGAAACATAGTTTATTGAGTCATATCAGTCAGCTATCTTATAACTCAACAATGTTTAAAAACCAAAATTAATTTATTCAGAATGGTGACTAATAAAAACTTAGCATTATTAGTAAACTGCAAATACAAAAGAAAAAATTCGAAACAAGAAATATTTAAGCATAGAACATTGTATAAAAATTATCTTTTTTTTTTTTAATAATTCAAAAATTACTCATGATGTCGCAGAATTTTTAAAAGAAGGATGTCAGACTTATTTGGCTTATCAGACATCAAAGGCTACTTATTGTTACTATTGTGGTGTAACTACCACTACCATTATTAAACATCAATTCACTAGTATATAAGATTTAGCACCATATTTCAATATTAAGTAAACAACAAACTCTTGACTTGCTGTACTTCCTGTAAGAAAGTATACAGCTGCTAACAGATAATTTTGATTTCTTTAAAACAGATAATTTTGCTTTAAATAAAAGAAAAAAGATATATGAATTCTGAGCTCAAATCTGCTGTATTTCATAAGTTATTAATAATATTAAGTAATTTTGGAGAGTTTGAAGTGACAATTTGTTTTAGTTACTTATAGATATATTGTTAAAAAAAGGTGACAGGGTTGCTAGTTTTAGTTAGAACTCGCTTTTTTGGCTCTCCCAATTCGACCTCTTGTTACTTGTTTATTGCTGTTTGTTCTTGTTACAAGCCATGCACCAACATACTTTAGTATTAGCAGATTGTTTTAAAACAGCGAGATTAAGTTCATTTCACTAATTATCATTCAGGTTTAAATTTTGAAATTTGTATATTGTTGACAAGGTAAGATCAACATATATTTTTCACTAATTAATTTTTATTTTTTAATGTCTGATTAACTTTTTACTTTCAACGTTTACCAAACAGACAAAGAATAAAATTCTTAATCGTTTGAAGAAAATAAGTCCTTAACTAAATTGTATGATTAATTTTCTTTTCAATTAATAAATTAAACAATAGATAATAAATTAAATAAAAGATAAAATAAAGTTAAATAACAGATATTTTGCATTTTTAAAAATAATAAAATAAAATAAATATTTAATGAATACATAAACATGTTTTCTGATAATTTTGCCCCAGTGCATGATAGTTACTAAGAGATTGGAACAAATATATTAATAGTAAAGTGTAAATGATACAGTAATTTTAAAACACACTATCAATCAGCCATTCTACTTCTAAAAAACTGATCTGGTTAAAAGTAAAAAAAGAAAGTTAATATTTCTACTTTTAAAATGGTAGTTTGGAACCTAAATTACTAAATTTTTTACACCTCTGTAATGCAAAATAGACTTATAAAGATTATTGTAGGTATAAGGGAGTAACATTAAAAATTGTAAAGAGTTTTGAGTAAGAGAAAAGAATTTCTAACCTTTTCATGCCACGGCGGAATTCATAGAGTTTAGATCCATCTAAGACATTGAAGACCCTTATGACAGTACCCTACAATCAGAATAAACACTCCGTTATAATTGATAAAAATAAATATTTATACTTACTAAAATGTATTTATATATTTTGGTAACATAAATCATTTCAAGCAGACCAACTAACAAAGCCCAGAAATATTAAAAAAACAAATAAAAATGAACTATGAAAAAATTGTTGATCTTTTGAAAATTAAAGCAGTTATGATCAAATATAATAAATTGCATTTGGTAACTAAAATTCATAACATTACTTTAGGAAGTGAAATTAAAAATTTAGTTGTAATTCTTCTAAACTCTATAGAGAAAAAAAAATGACAGGTGAGGCAGTAAGAACAGAGTAAAAAAATCTCCTTGCTTTATCACTTTTTTTTGTTGAAAAAATATATACTTACCCTATTTTTTACGTACCTTAAAAAAAAAAAGACTTTACAAAGGATTTCAAAGAATTTGAAAGTTAAAAAAAATTTTGACGAGTGACTTGATTTTTTTCTTAAAAAAATTTATGGTCATGTTTGGTTTAAGCACCGATTAAAGGAAGAATGACGAAAATTCTCTAAATACATCATCCAAGTTTTAAAAAGATATTTTCTATCAAAAACATTCACAAATCTGTAACAGCTCAAGATTGGGATATTTGGTCCTAACTGATCTTCTCGCAAAAAAAATTTAAAAAAACTTGGGATAAGTAACAATTTCAAATATTAACTAGAAAAGAAATCATTGTGATACCGACATTAGTGTAAATAAAATTGCAAACACACACACACATATATGTTACTGCAAATAACAGAAATAGGTGTTGTTGACTTCCACCAGTGAATGTTGACATTCACATAGTCACTTTGGTAAATATCCGAATAGGTCTAGATAAGTGCCACTGCCAGGTATACATTAGCCTGGTATGACCTACATCAATGTCTTTTTACGGTTCAGTGCCACTGCCCGGTATACCCTATACTGATGTGTTTTTTTAAGATCACTCAGAGGACATTAAAATATCGAATAAATATAAAAATATCAACGAATAAATTAATATCAAATCGGATATAACAAATATTTCGGACATTCACCAGAGCGACTATGTGATTGTTGACATTCACCAGTGGAAGTAGACACTCTCTAGATATCGGTCATTCATGGTAACATATAATATAGCACACAAATTCTTCAGTCAGCATGAATTACGGTATAATTGTACATTTTTGTTGAGTGTGAGAGGCAAAGTGAGAGACATACTTTTTCAGAAGCTGTAGCCAATTTAGTTCCCGTAGGGTCAAATGCCATGGCAGCAAGAGGATTGTCATGAGCTGGAATCATGGATTTTGCTTGCTACAATAGACACACATAAAAATTATTGAATGGTATCCACTTCTGCAACGTTCAAATACATGCACCAAAATAATTGTATTAAATTAACAACATAATGTATAACTAAAAACATAAAAAAAGAACTAACTAAAGTATCTTTTTTTTAACACTGACCAACAAAGTTAGTCACTTTGTAATTAATTAAATCCATTTTAAATGATAATTTTATCTCAAAGCAAATATTTGATAGACATAAATAACAATAACGAAAAAGCTATTGATATTGTAATATTTCTTTTCAATACATGTAGTAGCAACTCAAGCTTAAAAGACTTTCCAAAGACTCACCAAATTTAATGCATCAAAAATTTGTACTTCACCGATTGAGCTGCTTCCAGGATAAGCGAGATAGTTGTTTTCGTTACAAACGGAAAGGACACATAATCCAGATGGGTTAGGAGGAGTGTCTTTAATTGTGTGCAGAACTTTCATGTCCCTTATATTGTGGATATAAAGGCTCTCTTCTAAGCAGACTACAAGTCTCTGAAAGGAACAATTAACATCAAGATTGCATCTAGAGAAAACTGCAAGACATGGTAATAAAGTTAAAAATATGCAATAAAAATTTTTTTTATCGCATGAACAGAATTAAGACTACATCTATGTAGATTACAAGTTGCTGTAAAATTAAAAAAACTATAACGGAATGCGATATCTTGAACACGCCACCCAAAAAAATAAAAACTACATCCAAATAAGACTAAGAGTTGTAGATATAAATTAAAAATTAGCACAGTAAAACAATACTTTAAATAAATCACCAGAATCAAGGTTACATCTAAGAGAACAATAAGTAGTGGTAATAAAACTAAAAAAAAAAAACAATTATCAGAATACATAAAATAGAATTAAGATAATATTAACAATTACAAAATAATTTACCTTAAAAAAGTGAGACATATAAGTTTTGTAAAATCAAATAATTTAAACAATTTGAAAAAAAAAATAATACCAGAATGCCTGCAATATTTATTCATATTTTGGTTTATCAGTTAGTGCCTGAAGGTGCTAATGTAAAGCAGTTCATGTTTACAAACTCAGTTCATAAATATATCAACAAAATAATTGAAACTATTAAAATAATTTAGTCTTAGAATGAGGTTAAGTTTTTCTTAATTTTAGGTTTTATTTTGGTAAAATATAAAAGTAACGTTTAATGGCATAACTAAGAACTTTTCAAAGATCAAATATCTTTCGAATGATCAATCAAAATTTTAGAGTGGGCTAGATTCACTTGGCCTCGTCAAATTAGACGGTAAAAAAGGCAGTCGAATCATGATTGTGTGTATTACAAAATTGGCATACACATATGAAGAACAAAACAGGAAGAAAACTAAAATTGTCTCTAAATTGTAAAAACAAAATATGAAAAATGAATACCTGTTTAAAAAAAAATATATTCTATTCAATATACATGTTCCTCTATAACGTATAGAAAGATAAATAACAAATTATGCTTAACAGTGTTAACAAAGTATCAAATTAAGCAAACCAGTAAACACAGGATTAAGTTTACCTGTCTGTTTAGTTTAACAGCTAAGATGGTGTTTGAGTAGCTATAGTTACATATTTCGGAACACTTTTTAAAATGGCACACTTTGAGTTTTCGAGGAGCACAGTTAGTAACGAGTGCAACCAGACTAGAGGAGAAGAGTCTCTCAATGATACGGATGTCCTCGGCAGGTTCTGAAACACAAATATCGCAATTTAAACCTGTTATACAATTAACCACAGTTAACAAAAAAAAAAAAGAATTTTGAACAAAACCATAAACATTTTAATGAAACATATTCCAGGTTTTTAAAAAGCAGGATATAGTGTATATGTAGTATAATATTGAAAAATTTATGATTCATGATTGAATTTCTTTTATCTAATTTTTATGCAAAAACTTTATGACCCAATTTATTTTCTGTTATCTTGAAGTTTGAAAATGTAGGTTATCCAATACAGCCTCAAAAAATACAAGATTTTTGCTATCGGCCTGAGTTCTTCAAATAACCACTTACCTGCATTACCGATTCAGTCATCAGTATCAAGATTTACATAGCAAACATTTATTCCGCTTGCCAGGGATTATTTTAATTAGACATTTTAGAATTTAAAAAGTGAGCAAAGTTTTCAAAATCAGGTCAGAAAATAACTGATATAAATCATAAAATAGAACTCTTAACAATTGACATGAATTTTGTTGTTTGAGTTCTCTTACAGCTTAAAATAATTCATAAAACTATATAAAATAAGCAATTAAAAACATTTCTAAAGCTGCGAAGAGGAAGATGACACTATATCACCTTACTAATCCCAATACCCCATAATGGGAGAAGTCAATGCTGTAAAATAATTTGAAGTAAAATAATTTCGTAGTATCCTAAAAATAAAGCATACCTACAAATAAACGAATAAAGTACGACCAAAAATGTCAAATCCTAACTTAATTCGAAGTGCAAAAAAAAAAAAAAAGCTCATCACCAACCATCAATGAGAAGGTAGAAGAAATTTAATAAGAGTAAATTTATATTTTCTTCAAATTAATGGGACAAATTTGTAAAAAGTATACAAAAAATGCTTTAAATACAAAATATAAAAAAATTACAAATTTTGTTCTTAGACCTGTTGTACTATTTGTTACCATCTTATAACAACAGTATATATATACAAAATGTTAAAATTATAAATTCATATTTTCTATCATCTCAACACTTAGTTTAATAAATTAAACTAGTGGGCTACGCCCCCTGCTCACTAACGCTCGCCAACCCCCGAAAATTGCTACGCAATCTTATATGGATTGCTTCGCAAACCAAGTTCGCTTCGCTCGCTGCTAACTTAGGTACATTGCAAATACACAAAATTCTAAAAATTCAAAACAATCATTCAAATCCATATAAAAACTTTTTTTTTAAAAAAAATTACATCTTTTTAGTAAATACTAAGTTATTAAAAGAAATTTGAATTCAAATAAATAACATGTAATTCGTTAAACCTATTAGAAATGTGCGATTGTATAATTCGTGAATAAATCAAAAATCGTCAAATAAATTCGTAATATATAAATTCGTGAAAAAAAGCGCTTTCGACAAAATACTAAAATAGAGATCTATTGACAAAGACTACTCACTTCTGTCTAGCTTAATAGTATGAGATTGCCGCAGCAAATGCTCTCTGGTTATTTTAGCTTCCGTTTTTAAAAGCGCTATATGTTGAGCCACCTCAGCTAGATTTGGCATGTGACATTTTTCGCGGCAATCACTGGTCGATTCGCCGTGTAAGAGAAATAGTAACATAAACAAAACAAAGCAAACGTTGCCACCGGTGGAAAAGAAATACAGCAAAAATTTGGGAGCCACGTAAGAGAATTATATAAATTAAATGAATATAAGTGGATTGCATTAAAATAAAAAAAATTTCAAGATTTTACATCTTTTTTTGAATAAGAGGGGTGAAAGAAAGGCTACTACCAAAATAAACATTCTAAACATATTAAATTTATCAAATAATAATAAAATAATAAGAACAAAAAAAATTAAGTAAAAAAATACATGATAAAAAAGTATAATAAAAAGAATCAAAACAAAGTGAAAACCTCTATTTTTTAATTTTTTATAATTACACATTGAATTAAATGAATCGAAAATATGCTGCTGCCCTCTACAGTGCTAGGCAAATTCCGAATTCAAATAAAAAATGTTAGAATATTTCTGTCCACACAAAAAACCACAAAATTCAATTAAATGATTTTTTTTTTTTTTTTGAAACACATAAAGTGCTAATATAGAAATATTATATAAAAAAAAATTATTAAACAAATTTTCAAATGAATCTTTTTCAAATTCAGCGCGGTATTTAATAAGATAAATCATCACAAATTAATCATAAATTAAATAAAAGATTTGCCCTAGAGAATCATATGAAATTTTAGCATAAATCAGGACAACACGATTAAAGTTCAAACTATTTAAACTCTATTTGTTATAAAATGGCCTGCCAGGTAGCAAAAATAAGTATATCGTGAAACCCTCTCTTCCTGCTTGGTGCTTATATGATATTTGATGGCCTTTAACTAAAAAAAAAAAGGGGGGACTTTAATTTTCAGGGAAATTTCAAATCAGGAAAACTGTGTACCGGGGAAATAGTAAGCTCTAAAGATTTTTGGAAAGCATAAAAATACTTATCAACTTTAAATTATTATCAAAATAAAAATTTAAAAAAAAAGTGACAATATGCAACCTTGATCATTAAAATCTTTAAAAAAGATTTTACCTTGGGATTCATGAATAATTTCCAAGTTATCAACAGAGTTGAAAGCATATAATTTAAAGCCATTCTTGGTACCAACAGCTAGTGATCTGAAACAGAAATTGGGAAAAAAAGAGATAAAAAATTTTTAAAATTGAGAGAAAATTTATATCTCATAGTATGTTACAATGATGAATCACCCTTAATAAATTTATTCACTAATAAACTTATTTAAGGAAGAAAAAAAAAGTTTGTTGATTGTAAGTTATATGAAGTTATAAGTAATTTTGGTAGACTCTTAAACTATTTGGTTTTATAACTGACCATTCTTTGTTCAACTCTGAGCCTCGTTACTTTAAACTGAACCAGGAAGACGAGGGGCATTTCAGCTTCGTGCAGGACTTTTAGAATGCTTCTGTATTTGTGTTACATGGAGAGGAAAATTGGAAAACATGTAAACCTCCCAGAGTTAACATGAGGGCAAGGGGATTAAAGCCCATGATTCATTTACCACTGAAGCCATTTTAAATCAGCATGGTGGTCCCACGAGCTGAGAGCAGAATTCGCATCGATCAGCCATCACTGGGACTCCAACCTGGATCACCTTATTGAGAGGCAAGCTCTCAATCCCCTGAGACAACAAAACTCTTCTTAGATTATTTTTTGAGTTGAAAGATTTTCTATAAATATGAGCTTGAACAATTAGCTAACTTTAAATATTTAGACACAATAGTAAATAGTAATAACGACATAAAAATTTAAATCAAAACGGCTAATAGATTAGCATGGATCAAATCTAAACACATAAGTAGTCAAACAAAAATAAAGTTGTACAAGACACTAGTGAGACCAATCGTTTCATATGGCAGCGAAAGCTGGTAATCAACAAAGCAGATGAAGAGAAATTGATAATTTTTGAGAGAAAATATAAAGAAAAACTTTTGGTGCAGTAAGAGAAAATGGAACCTGAAGAATTCGTTAAAACCATTAATTGCGATCAAAATTTAACGAACCTAACATTGTAAAAGTCATCAAGGTTTCTCAAACAAGGTAGCTATGACATGTACTGGGAAACAGAATTCATTTTTGAATAAATTTGTGTACAATAATAATTAATTTCTTTTTCACATTAACATAATTTTTCTTAAATCAGTTATAAAATACATTAATTTAAAAGCTAAATGTTCCTTTTTTATTCACAAATGCAAAAAAATTTTGTTTTAATAAAATTTTTGAAATTATATATGATTGGTATAAAATAGTTAATAATAAGTATGGTATAAAGGTGTGAATTAATACTATTTTAACACGGCAGGCAGCACAAAAATAAATTAATTAAATATGTGTGCTTACTTACAGTGGAAAAAAAAATTAGAAAACACTCTTGAAACTCAAAATTTGTTTTTAAAAATTGCCAGAGTTCAGTGGGAAAAAAAACTGCACACAGAAAGTTAGGGAGTAATTTGGCACTATTTCTTCATGCAGAATAACTTTTTCAAAAAATTCTTCCTCCAATCTAATCAAAACAAAGAAAAAAAGCTTTTTATACTTTGGACTAAGAATCTTGCTCACAAAAGCCACTATTAACTTTTTTTTACAAATAAAAGACACTCGTTCTTGATTATAGAAATAACATAAAGATTTAGAAACTATGGATCTGTTTGGCAATGTGGAACTTTTGGAGCCTACTTTAAATTTCTTCAATTTTTAAGAAGTTTATCATTTCAGGGTTAATTGTTATTAATCATTTAACAGTTTAATAATAATTGCTTTATCAACATTTTAAATATTGCTCTCAAAAAATTAAACTAAAATAAAAACGTTAAAATCTTTAAGAATAATAAATTGTAGGTAATTCCCGAATTTTACAAACTTATAGAACGTTCCTACTGAATGTGGTTTGATAAAATTTGCAGTTACTGGTGCAGAAGCTACCTTTTGGGTGATTATATCGGGTTTGGCGAAAATGGCCACTGGGATAATGGTCAGCAGAATAAGCGAAAATGGCTAATGGGATAATGGTCAGCTGAATAATCTCTAAGCAACCACAAAATCAAGATTACCTCCTAAATTCATAGTTTCCACCAACAATAAAATAAATTTAAAACGCCTGCTAATGTTAATTAAAATAAATGATAAAATTTTATTGATTTTAAGTACAAAAGGAAAAAAAACTAATAGAATATAATGATAAGAAACGTGAAAATAAAAAAAGAATAATAAAATAAATATATTTCTGAATATACATTAAGTTTTACTAAAAACTAAATTCCTAATTAAAATCAAAAATCATAATTACGTTTTATTACAACTTAATTAATTATCTAAACTTTAAATCTTATTTTTAATAAAAACGTATTTCTTTAAACATACTGATTAATAATACTCAGCGTGTCTAATAAATAAAAATTTAATACGAAACAAATAAAACACTGAACCTAATATTATTGAAACTGAAAGTTCCAGCTTTAATATACAAAATGATGATAATGTGCAGAAAGATAAAAATAAAAAATTTTGCAGTTATATTAATTTTTACTTTTATTACAATGCGGAAAAATTCCAGAAAAATAATCAAGTTTTGAACGAAAAAAAAATATTATAACTAATATTTAAGCATAAAAAACATTGCATATAATAAAATATTTATTGCTAATATACAGATAGGTGTGACACTCATGAATCACAAACTGGGTAGAGCGAAACTATAAAGTGGAAACATTTAATCTCTCTAAACTTTTGACAGTTGCATTTTACTTCCTCAAACAATCATTAACCACAGACATTTCAAGGTTGCAACAAACAATTCTGTACCTCTAAAACCAGAAATATAACACAAATAGCTACGAGCAAAATCGAGGTGAACAATACGATCCTCACAAAGACACCTTGCTTCATATAAAATGCATTATACATTTAGCACAATTAATTTGAAAGAGAAAAAATCTCAGCAAAACGTAGATTGCAATCAAAAATTCTATTTTAAAACGCCTCTATCAAATCATAAGAGGAATGTAAACATTACGAAATATTGTTTGTAAATAAACAGCCATACTTGTTTTGGTATAACTTACGTGCAATCTTGGTTGAAATTAACGAATAAAACTTCCCCGGATGCTTCATCAGTTGATTCGATTAGATTCATTTTATGTTTAATAAAAGAAATAATTCACCTTGAGTTGCAGTGGGTTCAGAAAGAAAGTTTTTGTAGGTTATTTAAGAATGCATGTAATCAAACCCTTCCTAACTTCGTCGTCCTGCCATTACATCAGCTGTCTTTTCTACTCTTGTTGTTTTGCTCCTTCATTTGACTCACGCTCAATGTTTTGGGAGCGTTTGCGCATGCGCTTTAACATTACAACACAAAAGATGTCTTGATCACGAAATTTGACTTCCAGCTGCCCACTGCGCTTGCGTTGGGAGGTGACACAATATTGTGTTTTAGATTAGTATTGGTTAATGATGTTGGTGATCATGACGCGAAACGATGATGACCAGCTTGAACTTGTTTTCATTTTTTTTTATCGTTCTCTAATTCTTTTGTAATATCATTTCATTCTAACAACATAAAAACAGATGTTTGAAAACGTTTGCAGCGATTGTTTATTTTTCACCTTTACGGATGTATAGACGTAGAATATGGATATAAATATACTGACGATAAATATTTAGCGTTCTTTTTTATCTGCCACTTGTTAAAATCTATTGAAAGGTTATAGTTTTAATAATTTATAAACAAAAGCATTTTAAACTTGTACTCCCGGGTTGACGCACCTGCATCTGTCAGAAATATTCATACTAAGAGGCATGTTTGGATTTTTAATTTCATTATAAAATGCTTTTTAAATGAAAATTTACGACATCTGAAAAAAAAAAGGTAGGTTAAGTTATTCTTAGAGGAATGCATGCAATTTTAAACAGAAGGGTATGCGTCTCCATTCGCAAACACTTCCCGTTTGCGCAACCCCCACACTGAAATTATTTTGCGTGGAATTTATTTAATTATATCAAAACTGAGATGAGCACCGTAGGCCTTGGCTCTCAATGGGCTGTCGCGCCATTGAGTTTAGTTTCAGTTTAGCAGTACATCATTAAGGATAAACAACCTTTTATACAGATAATAAGTTTATTTATATCGTGCAATTCATGAGGAGCATTTTACCATGATAGCGAGAGTAGCCTAATTTCTGCTTTTTTTGGAATTCACTTCTCTACTACTTTGTAATAAATTATTTTGCTGAAATATAATTAGCATCCCTGTGAACAACAACAGCAAAAAATGTTATAAAATTATCGATATCATGGTATTCATTCATTCTCAAGGATGCCAACTTGCATCGCATTGTGGAAAAAAATTTTCTACAAATAGCTGGAGAAAAAAAAGTTAACACTGTAAATAACTTTGGATCTAATGATGGGATCATCATGTACTATATGGTTCAACCTTAATGATTCGCGAGTATAAACTTTTAGTTGTCGTCTGCACTAATTAATTAGTGCAGACGATATTTTACGTTATGAAATCAGGCACCAAAATGTACTTTCCCTGAGTAAACATACTTTCGATGGATTCGGATTTTAGACTCTCAGGAAAAGTAGTCGCAATTTGAAAAATATAATCCCACTAACTTTGTCAGGAGAGAGGTCGAAAGTCTGGACCACCTAATGTTAATTTTACTTTTTGCGTATTTTGCCATATCTCGAGAACTTTTCATACAAATCGGTAAAGTTTTGCATATAATTTTAAAATTCGTTTATTTAAAGATAAATCCATGTTAAAAAAACTTTTTATAATTTTTAACAATTATTTGCTATTTTAATTAATAATAGACGAAAATTTTTTGAACTGTACGGTATTTAAATTAATTTTCACATCATTTAAAAGAATGTAATTTCACACTGCGAATATCAAAGCTTAAAAAAGTTGTATATTTAAAATTGGATTCCTAACGAACTATTCACTATCTTTATATCTCTAGCCATTGTCGCTTTCATAGACGGGCCACGGAGACATACATTTTTATTTCAACTTTTAAACTTTTTATAATTTATAGTACTGTCAGGGTTGAGACTAACTGTAATTTTCTTAAAAAGTAGCAGTGAATTTGAGAAAAATATAGAAGTTTAAAATTAATGGAATTAACGAAGAAAAAAAAGCATATATGGGAGTACATATAGGGGTACAAAAAGTAAATAAACAAGCGAGTTTTTTTTTTTTTTTTCGTAATGCTCATTTAAGTAGAAGTTAAATTAAAAAAAAATTTTAGTTGCTTAAAAAATGTATGGGAACCGAGAGGGCTGGAAAGATTCGATCGGTCAGCTTAATGTCTGTTAAAAACATAACTGACATGTAAGAGAAGGGGCTGATGAATAACCAAGTAAATTATTTTAAACGACCCCGAGTTTTTTCTAATCCGACTTAACAACAATACACATTTTTCTTTTCTTTGAAATAACTTTAACATGCTCGTTAGTGCTAATAATAAAAAGACATATAAATTTTTTTTTCTTACGTAATAATGATAAAAATATGAAATCTTGTTTTGAATGAAACGTTGACAAGTACAGTAACAGGTAAATATTGATGATAAGTGTAAATCCTCCTATCTCTCTTTTTTCGATAAATATTATCTTAAATAGTGGGTCAACACAATGTTTCCGAGAAGCCATTGGTAGACTCAAATAATACGTAAGCAGTTCTATCCATGGAATGAGGTTTTAAACAGACTAGCTTGTTTTAACTGCTTAAAAGAGCAATTTTGTCATCTTGAATTTCGAATTTTTAGCTGTGAGAAATATCTATGGATCTCATAAATAAATATGCCTCGTAATTTTTTTATTCGAAATTTAATATCAAATACAAATTGATATATATTTACTTTTATGTGAATGTAGTGCGGCAAAAGAGCTAAAAGGAACATCCTGAATAACTTTTGATTAAATAATCGGATCTTCACGTTTTAGGATGTTAATGGTTCGAGGAGGTGATCTCCAATATGCTAATCAATTAGTGCAGACGATAGTTTATTTTACAGAAACATACACAAAAACGTACCTTCTTTGAACAAACATGCCTTTTTTCCGACGAATTCGGATTTCTGATCTTCTAAAAGGGGTAGCCGCAATCAGGGAAATAGGGTTGCAATGACAAACAGAAGAGCAGTCCCTTATGAGAACTTTTTAAGCGTGTTGAAAGATTTATACGCAAAATTATAATTTTTCTTTTAAATGTAATTCCATGCAAAAAAAATAACTAGTAAATATTTATTATTTTATTTAATAATAGCCGAAATATTTTTGAATTGCAAGATACATACATTTTTGACATCACTTTAAAAATTGCAGTTTTATATAGCAAAATATAAAGTTTGAGCGAAATGGGTTGTATAGTTCGTGAGAAATTGAAATTTAAAAATGTCAGATATTTAAATTTCGATTATTACTTGAACGATAAGGGTCAGACTTCGTATTTTGATCTGAAAAATTACTTTCTTTGAAATGGTGTAAAAAAAATTGTGTATCTTACTATTCAGAAACTTTTTGATACTTAAAAAAGTCATATTTAAATTTCGATTATTACTTGAACGATAATGCTCAGACTTCGTATTTTGATCTGAAAAATTACTTTCTTTGAAATGGTGTAAAAAATTTTATATCTCACTATTCAAAAACTTTTTAACTACGTAATATTAAATTAAATACTAAAAAAAAAATTACTAAAATTATATTTTGCTTGGAATTATCTTTGGATAAACGAATTTCCTAATTGTGTGCAAATTTTTTTTCAATTTGTTTAAAAAGTTAAATATGGCAAGATGAGAAAAAATTAAAATTGAGGTCCAAACTTTGGACCACTTTCCTGACTAAACTATCGAGACCCTATTTCCCAGATTGCGACTACCCCATATTTTGAGGGTTCGAAATTCAAAATCGTCGGAAAAAAAGGTATTTTTATTCAGAGAAAGTACGTTTTTAAGTCTAATTTTGTAACTTAAAAAATCGTCTGCACTAATTAATTAGCTTATTTGAGGTTATCTCTTCGAACCATTAAGTTTGGATCTTAGAAACGAGAAGATCCGATTTAATGATCGAATCAAAAGTTATTCAGGGTGGTCAGTTCTTTTTCCGCAATGTACGTGTACTGAATTGTATTTAAAATTATGAAAACAAGGATTTTTCACCTATTCACGCTTATCGTTTTATGTTGTTAAGATATAAAAGTTGAAGTACGATGCATGTTTCAACCAAGTAGATATTTCTATCCGTAACCTGGTACATTAGCTCACTGTGACTTAATTATAGATCAAAATATAAATGAATTTATGATTATTACTGTTAAAAGAAGGTTTACCACAAGTGAAAAAATTAAACATATATGTAAATATAGAATGATCATATGTTTGTAGGATTAAAATCTATCTGCAAAGTATCACTTTAGCTTTTATTACCACTTGGGAAAATCATTGTTGGAAAAGTTGACGGGTATATTATCCTCCTACCACTATTTTATGCTGCGACCACGGCCCCCATTTTTTTTGATTGGGAAAAAAATTATGGTAAAAACAATTCATTTTTGTCTAGTTTCTAACATAGTTTCTGTAAGTAAATAAGTTAAATATTTGAATTTTAAAGAGCGGAATCATAACTTTCTAAAAATTAAATTCTAAACTGTATAACACTCATTCAATTTTCTCTGATTCTATCGATTTGTATTACAGAAGCCTAAAATAGATGTCTGCTCAAACGTTCTTTAATTAGTGCATATATTCTCCCGATTATGATTTTTTTTTTAACTTTATTTTGTAACAGTCAATGAGCAGCCGGCCCAGTATTCGGGTTTACGACTACTAATGTTCAACTCCGTAGCCTTGTTATTTGGAACGCAATCCAGAAGAAAAGAGTAACCCCTGAGAAAAAGACAACTCCTGGATCAAGGATTGGGAGAAATTTACCTTCGTGAAGAACTTTTTGCTTGAACTAACCCGCATTTGCGTTGAACGGCGAGGAAACCTCCCATGGTTCGCCTGACGGCATGGGGACTCTAACCCATGATCCGTCAACCACTGAGCATATTTTACGTCAGCACTGTGGTGGGTGCAAGCTGGATGCGGAATTTGTATCGACCAGCAATCGCTTGGATTCGAGCCCGGTTCATCTCATTCGCAGGCGAACGCTCTATCCCCTGAGCTATCACAGCTCATGTAGTAAATCTTTTAAAAAAATTAAGAAAAAGAAAAGAGAAAAAAACTGTCATCCGAAGCAAAGCAATTTTTTAGTCATTTTAAGGCCACCTTAAATTTTTTTTAAAAAAAATTTGGAATGGAAGCTCGAGCCTCTCGAG